ACATTAACTTACTAATATTATAAATGCGAAGGTTTAGATGGATGGATGTTTTTATGAAGGTATCTTTGGCTGCATTTATTTTTCTGAAATTTGTCATTAAAATAGATCATACTACTAATTCGTTGTTTTTTAATTACGCGCAGACGAAGTCGCGTGCGTCAGTTATTTTATAATAACATAAAAATAATTATACTTTTGATCTTACAAAAATTATATATATGTGTAATAAAACAAATATATGAGTCATCTTTTCTTATTTACCTAATGACAGGGGAATACCATAGTATGTACATAGTTGCATTTATACATATGTATCGGTGCAAGTAAAATGCGTAATGTTGATAACCTTATCTGACTTCCGACTCCAATGGTTATAAATTACGGGAACTCCCCTTTAGAGTATCTTTATTATATGAATTCTTATTATCTCGATTTATTTAAAAAGTATTTTTCAAAGTAATACTGCCTACTATCTTTCATTTGTTCTTTCGTTTTTTTTTTCAGTTGGTCTTTCGTTTAAAAGGCCAAATAATGTTAACTTTATTTAACCTTTAATACAATAATGTTTACTTATAATTCTAATAAATATGCATAAATTGTCGTTTTATAAAGCAGGCGCTCAATATACATATTCAAGAGATTCTCTAAAAAGCAGATCATGAAAATTCATGTGCCTTTCCCTTTCATTTGCTTGCAAATTCTTATAGAGTTCGTATATATTAAAATTGATCCATATACTATCAAGTAGTATTTATCTAGCAAAAGATTAATGAACATTATAATTACTTAGTAAAAACACTTTAATTTAATCAGTTATCCCATAGGTTGTAAATATTCTGTTTACAATAATTTCCTCATTAAAATTTAGTACCAAATCTAAATTGAACCCAAATTAACTCTCTAACACATCTGAATAAAATATGGAAAAAACGCTCTTCGGTAACTAAAATTGTCGCATTAGCATCACTAAAAAGCAAAGAATTTCTATTCGTAAATATAGGTTTCTTAAAGGATAGAAAAAAAATATAAAAAAGTTTTTGCAGGGCATTCGTAAAGCACTCGGAGCGCACAATGACCAGGAACAAACTCTGCAACTTGGAGAGCTCGTTATTCATTTTAACTCTTATTTTGTTAATTCGCTTCTCTACTTTGCTATTTATGTCAGAAAGATTGCCAATTATATGCTGTTAAATCAATAGATGTGTATTGGGCGTTCCTTACTTGAAATTTTCTAAATCTCTCTCTGGTAAATTAAATACATTCGTACATTTTTTTTAATTATTCGACTAACCAACTTTCTCTGAAACTAAAATATCTGTGTAAAATATATCGTCGTCCCTGTCAATATCTTTGAGAAAACAGAGATATAACAAACGTTTTAAACCTGGATTTGGATCTCAGAAACCCACGGTGACTTTATTAACCGAATTGGTTTTGATAAGAATTCTTTATACTATCAGTTACTGTTGAATGTAAAAATTAACTTCTATGATTATGTACCAAAAAATTAATTTGTCATTAAAGTTAAATTATTGAAGATAGCCAAATGCCTTCTGTGTTACATATTATCTTAATTGGATATGTCATTTTTTAATTAAACCATCAACGGAAAATATCAAGTGTTAATTACTAGCACTATTTAAATATTTCCTATATTAAATCCATTGTGTAAAATATATATAATTCAAATACGATTTTATTTAAATCAGAATAAATATTTCAAAAAAAATAAGCGTCAATTGCGTTCTGATTTCAAAAGAGGCATATTGTTATTATTTTTTAAAGCTAAAATGTTAAGTGATAAAATTCTAATATTTCTAAATCGCTTTGCTTTATAAAATATCCAGATAAGATACTAATACGGGAATTGATTCGAAGCACAAGGCAAGGCGTTTGGATAGTAATTTCCCGAGTGGGCTCACTTGTGTGCTCATGAAATTTTTAAATAGTGAGAGTATTGTTAAAAAAAAGAGTTACGCTACAATTCAGATTTCTAATTAAATTTATTAGCTTTACAAATTATGAGTTTCTTATCCATTAATTATATCATGTATCATAATGCTGTCGTCCACGACTCGGTCCTCATGGAATTAAAAGAAGCATAATAAGTAGTATTCTAGACTGAGTTCTGCATCTGTGCAAAATTTCATCAAGATCCGTTGAGCCATTCCCGAGATACCTTGTAACAAACATCCATCCATCCAACTAAACTTTTGCGTTTATTATATTACTAAGATTAATCTTTGTGATTCTTGCAGTGGGTAAAAAAAAATAGGGACAAAAATGACAGATCCGCGTGGAAATATATGAATCTTTTATATGCTAATGCAATCCTATTGTTCGGAAATTGAATCTTCAGCTTAAGAATTATTCATGATAGGTGAGAACTGAATTTATATTTGTATATGAAAGTATACAAACATTTTATAAAGATGTTAACTTTGAATAATAATAAATTGGAATAAAATAGCTACAAGGCTAACTGTTTTTTTTACAGTGAATTGCTGAATCACCCCACATGAAATGTTGTGTTGTTAACAATTTGAAAGTTTTTTTTTCTTGTTTTAAAATAAATTGTTTTGTAGAGTTAAGTTCCATTGGGAAGCGACCTTTTATTTGTATTGTGCTCTCTAACTTTTAGGAACAACTGACGTGTAAGTTCACGCCACAATAGGATTACCCAGTGACCTAAAAACCAATACGAGTTGGTTAATTCTATTGCGTATTCAAAAACATATCTTTTGTTTCTAGTCAAAATCTAAATAAGGTTTCGTGAAGAAATTTTGATGAATGTTAATTCATGTAAAATATTCTATTATTTGAACCTTATATCACGAGCGCCATTGCGAACGAAAATCTCTATTTAATTTCTTGTTTATTGTTCTTAGTGTACTAATTGCTATGTTAGTTGTATTGTCTTAAATTGTAACCTGAAATAAACTTTGATAATAATTAACAGAGTACTTTCGAATTCTTTTTCATCATCCATTTGTGAAAGGCTTGCGGAAGTCAACACTTTTCTCAGTGCCAGACGGACTCGCAATACAGAATCTTGTATTCCCTTTCATATATTAAAATTTCGTCTAAAATTAGTTAATTTCATTAAAAAGTGATTGTTTTATTTTTTAATAATATTTGATAAATAGGCTGTAAAGCCCAAATACTGTTAAGGACCTTACGTTATGTCAGTTGATTTCACTATTGGCCAAGTTTGCAAGTCAATGACACTAGCGGAGTAAAGTTTGGCCATCATAGTCGGACTGTTATTAAAGTTGGAACTATTTTGAAAATAGAACAATTTCAATAACAACCCTCAAATAGTTTATGTCTTTATCTTTAATATTTAATAAGACGTTCTTCGTGAGGTTGTGGTATTTGTAAAGCTGTAATTAAGTCAGCTGTAATTTTTTTTATCAGACCATAACGTAGTTAATTCAGTATTGAGTCATTGCTCTACGTCAATATTTCTAGTTCTAATTACTCTAATAATATGAATTTTCTTTGGTACCTTTTCTTTGTAAGACTTTGATATAATCCCGAATATAAACTATAAAAGAACTAGCAGGCTTTTTCTTTAAATGTGGGGTCCAATTGGAAAATAACGTTAGTTATAAAAGTTCGATGGTGAAACTTTTCTCGCGTAACGACCTCCACTTGGAAACTTTGTGTATAGAAAAATAAAATAGAACTAACGTCTTTCTGCGCATATCGACTTTTGCATTTCAACTTTTAATATATCCATGACTGTCGTTTTTGATATTTACTCGGATACTGAAATAAAATGGTTCTTTGCCACTAAAAAGCTTTAAGTTTTTGTTCCCTTGGTATATTATGCGTTCACGGTATATTCGTTTTTTAAACTCGTTCACAATTTTATTCGTAATTGTAAACATTTTTATACGTTTTGCAATGCCAATGTTAAAATAACATCGAACGTGTAAATAATATAATGAATGTTATTGTCCAAGTAAAAAGTTTTAAATTAAAATGAAAAAAATGTGTAACAGTTCTTAAGAAAATTCTGGAAATTCTCGTAAATGTTAATTTGTAATTCAATTTTTTTTTATAAATTCATCATCAGCTCACTATGGCCTAGTCACCCTTGATTTAGGGTAGGCTCCGACCCCTCTGTTGTACGTATAGTGAACTGATGATGAATTTATAAAATGAGCTGAAGGAATTAACATATGCATTTTTTTTTGTAATAGTGGAGATCGTTTTGTGTAATTACTGCATCATCGGGCGTATATTCTGAAAACTGATGCCAGAATCTATTTCCCGTGTAATGGCACGATTCTGGAATACTAGTGACCTTATTTGTACTCAGTTAGGTAAGACTAGCGCACTGCATGCGTGCTTTGAATTAAGAAAGCTTACCTGCTCAGTCGTTTCCCGCAGTTACATTCGTAACTTGGCGCCTTATTAAGCCCCATTGTATTCTCTACGGCGGAATATACGAACAAAACAATCCCATTTCTTTTCCTTGATATTAACAAAATTATTTCTCACTACCTCTACCCGAATTGCTTAATGCTAAAATTAATGTCGAATATTATTTTGTCAGCAAAAAGTTTCATTAAAGTATAATGTTATTTATATATTATTTTTAATATTTGTAGGACCTTTTTGGACCTTTATTTTTTATTTTCATCATAAGCTTACTGTCCTCAATGAGGCGCTCGGAGCCTACCAGTAGGGGTGATCAGGTCAGTCAACCTCGCTGGCCCACTGCGAGTTGGTTGATTTCACACATATCTTTGAATTTCTTCGCAGATATGTGCCTTCTTTATTTTACTGTCTAAAATAATTAGGATAGGATATAAAATGGGATTGAAGAAAAAAAAATCACCAAAGTGTAAGTAAAAGCAAAATGTATTTTTTTTTAATTTCTCATATTTCATATAACCTATAGCACAGACCTTTAATTGATTATTAATTTAAATTATTACTTTAAGATAGTTCCACGGTAAAGATAAATAAGAATAAATTATTACATGTCTACATCTCCTCCTTTTTATATCTATTCCTTGCATTACATACACACTAGCTATCGCCCGCGACCTTGCCCGAGTCTAACAACTAAGTCCAAGCTATATTTAGTCCAGATCCGTTTTGGAGTTAAGTAGTAACATCTATGCATTCATATATATTATTAAGAACTGTAAGTTGTATACTAAACTTTGTACACATCTAGATAAATAGTAACTTAATATTTGCCTAGTTGTTTGTTACTTATAAGGTGACTTTGCTTATCATGAGACCAAAATCACATAAATTAATCAATATTATTATACATTTCGTAAAATGCCTAATACTTCCAATGTTTGATTTATATCTGCTTCAATTTAGTACAGTATATGAAACAATCGTATACAAAATTAAATGCAAACATTTAATGTTAATAAATAGTAAATTAAATCTAACATTAAATACTTATGATAAAACCTTAAATATATTCGTCTCTTTTCTTTAACCTAAGTTGGATACCATTTACGGATTCCGTTATTATTCTGTATTTAAATTGCGGTTCCGTACCAGGCTCGCCGGGAAGGATTTCGTATCTTCTCAATATATTTGATAGGGTTGCCTTCATCGCCACCCAAGCGTACCGGAAACCTAAATAAATAAAAATTGTTAATCACACTGTTGTTCACGCTATATGTAAATAAATTTACTGGCTTTAAAATATTTTTGTTCTCTCTCTTATGTTAAAAAAAAAATGAAAGGAACGACAATATTCACAAATGGCACGGGAGTTAACGGCTACAGAATAGTCTTACTAATATTATAAATGCGAACGTTTAGATAGATGGATGGATGGATAAATGTTTGTTTCATGGTATCTCTGGAACGGCTTAATGGATTTCGCTGAAATTTGGCATAGATGTAGAACATCGTCTGTTTATAATTCGGCGCGGGCGACAGCTCCTATGTTATATTGGAATGTATAATTACCAATGCAATTTCTTGGTCCAGCACTGAACGGTGTAAATGCAAACTGATGCATGTTGCTTAAGAATCTTTCTGGCTTGAATTTTTCTGGTTCCGGGAACACTTTGGGGTTCGAATATAGTGCATCGAAAAATATTAACACTGAAGTTCCTGCTGGCGCAGTTCGACCATCTGGAAATAAGGCATTATGTTTTAAATGATCCCTTAAACTACGTTTAGTTCTTTAAAACATATTCGATTTGATAAAACGTTCATGGTGTTAGTAAGATTGTAATTATTTAGTCTGATCAATCATTTATTTTAGCATTAAGTAATTGTAATTGTAGTATGTAATTCGTAATATTACCTTTGAAATGAAGATCACTTTTAAGTTGTCTTCCAATCTTCGTAACAGTAGGCACCGCTCTAATACTCTCTTTGATAACTGCTTCCAGATACTTCATTTCTGTTAAATCGTTATTAGTCGGCTTCTTAGTAATGTCATTGTTGAAGACAGAGAGTTGTTCTTCATATACCCTTTGCTGGATCTCTGGATATTTTGCCAAGAAATAAAGCGTATGACTCATTGTCATCGTTGTTGTATAATGACCCTGAAATTTAATGTACATTTTAACTTTTTTTTATAAAATAGTAGCCGATTTTTTTGTCAATTTACTAATATTGGTTGTACCATTCCAACTAAGCCCTATACTTGGGCTAGGATATCGTTTTCGACGATAGTCGAATGGCAGGATTCGAACCCATGAAAGCGTGATCGGAAATCTATACCCTTAACCATCAGGCTTTTAACGGTTTAAATATAACGAATCGCAGAAGCTGAATTTAGGCTTTAAATTAAACAAAACTTACCGTAAACGCTACAAGGGTTATTTCCTCATTGATTACATCATCAGGTATAGAGTCCCCGTTAATGGACTTACTGAGAATGAATTTATCCAAAAGACAAGCATCATCCGACAACTTTTCACCAATTAATTTATCAATGTCAATATTAACATTTTTATTATTATTTTTCGTGTCTTCAATGAACCTTTGTAATATATTTCTTCTTTCTTTGATTATCTGCAAATTAAATTAATTGTTGAATTAATTGATTCATGGATTTTTTACTTAGTTTATTCTACTTCGACGTCGTTAGCGTCAGTGGTTCAGGGGTTAAGGACTTGACTTGCAATGTGCAGGTCCTGGGTTCGAATCTCGCCATGTACCAATGTGTTTTTCGATTAACATATGTAGATTTACCCGATATTCTTTCGGTGAAGGAAAACATCGCGATGCCACCTGCACATGTCCTCTCAGAGCCACTCAGTGCGGATGTACATTATTATTTTAATAATATTTTAAATGTTGTTACCTCCGTGCTTTGATTTCTGATAATCTTAATTACTGACATCATTTCCTTATAGACCGGTGATAAGACGAAAAGTGGTCGGATATTTCTCCAGTATGAAAAATAGTTCTCCGTAATGATACTGACAATTCTGTAACAAAACTTTGAGTTGAGATGATGGAAATTGCGCAATTCACTGATCCCATTTTCCGTTTAGATAAGTATTTAATTAAAAATCTTTTAATCGTAAAATTATCGTGGTATAATCATGAGGTAATTCGTGCAAAAAGTACTTACTTACTACTGGCATCTAAATATGGATGTTCAAGGTCATCAAGCATATAAAAATTAACACCCATAAGTGAATCTGAAAGAAAATAAAAATATTTAATGTTGACATTTTTAACTTGTTAGTTGAAATAATTGTTATGGTAATTATCATCATTATACTTTTAAATACTTACTGCACAATAAATCAAACATGTAAGGTCGTAAATAACGATATACATCAACACTTGATCTGCCTGAATATTTGTCAAATATATTATAGAGATTTTCACAATATTCATTGACATCTGATACTCTTTTTTCGAGAGTTTTATATTGAAAACTTGGATTCATTAGTTTTCTTGTGGATCGCCATCTTTCTCCTGTTGGCAAATATACACAATCCTCTGTTAAATTGAGTTTTATCACATTATATTCAAATATACTGTATTTACTTATTTTATGTAATAAAAAGTCATTGATCAAGTAAATAGGTACATAGTACATAGTATATAATAGGAATAACATACCTTCCGAGGTTGATACTGAATTACCAAAAAATGGCATCATTGCTACGTTGCGTTCCAATGGTTTCGACAATTCTGTAGGACTGCTTAAAAGTGTCTAAAAAATAAAAAATAATATTTTTGTTATAAGTTTCTTATGACTCCTGGCATTTTTCCTCCAGTCGACTTTTCTAGACCTTAAAGGCAAATCAGATAAGTTTATTTAAGTATATTTAATGACTTACTCCAACATCATCAGGTTCAGACAGAAGCACCCATTCTTCGCTTCCCACAGTTAAACGGAAATTAGTTTTTCCATGTTTCGTCCACATTTCCATTAACCTGGTCGATGCCTCTGTAAATATTGTTGACATTAGTTTTTATAAGAATAATTAGATTTATATTATTCTTAGCAATAAGTATGATGAGGTTTAAGGATACGGGTCCATTGGCCCGCGCCGGACGCTTCGCCCGCACGGATTAATCGGATTTGCTTTGTGCCGTGCGGTTGTGCCGTTGTGCCATGCGGTTGGCACGGATGATGGACACAGCGCTATGTAAAATCATACAAAGCAAAGTTAAATCTTTTGCGGGCCGTGCGTACCCTAAATAGCCTGTAATGACTGATATACGATTTTACGCAAACAATTGTCTAAGTTGACGATATTGCATATCAAAACATAAGTGAGAACACACATGAAATATATTCACTTGGATACGGATGATTTCCAGTAAGTTTAATCTTATGATTTTGAATATTTCTCCTATTAGATTTAATCTCGGATCTTTTTGACTTCATCAGTTATTTGGCCTGTCTACTTATATGCCTACTCTTTGTCATATAATTAATTTTAATGATCAATATCATTAACCTTGTCTCTGCTAAATATCTTTATAGTAATACGATTATGAAAAGACTCCGGAAACTGACTAGATAATTGAAAACATTACAGCTGTTCGATTAAAAGACGGCAGATAGTAGGAGTAAGTTATTACTATGAAACAGTCGACGAACGATAATTTACAGCGTTATCAATTAGCAGAATAAAACAAAGCACTTATCTAATCTTACCTAATCCTCAATCAGTACACATAACTGACGCGGTAACAAGATTTGCAAACATTTTATATTTCGGTTATTATTAGAGATAATTTACTAATATAAATGTGAATGTTTGGATATTTGTTAAAAGGTATCTCCAGAACGGCTGAACGGATCACGCTGAAATTTGGCATAGATATAGAACATAGTCTGGAAGAACACAAAGACTACTAATTAAGTATTTTTTTAATTTCACGCGGACGGCGTCGTGGGCGACAGCTAGTATTTAAATTTAAAGAAATACGCCGGTTACCTATGATTTCTATTTAAAGAGAGATAATATTGTAAATGTCACGTTGACCTTGGAATTTCAGTTAAAAAAAACCCTTATTATGCATGACGTTGCATGCATTGCACACGTCCTACGCAATTAATTTGAATATTATGTTTGAAACAAAATATCATGAGCTTAAGTAAACTCTGAGTTTCATAGAGCTGTACAAAAAAAATCAAAATTTTTTCGTAACCATAATAAGAAAACCCTATGAGATGTTTTACTTTTTATCATTCATATTAAAGCAAATATTAACAAATATTGAAGAAAATAGTGAGGTTTCGAATCTTGATACTTGGGGTTAAACTCCGGACACTTATACTATGATGTTACTAGCCGTATTAATTTGAATTGTAATAAATATGCTTACCATCAGCATCAAATCCAATTTCTAAGACGTTGCCAATGAGTGGCAAAGGTGGGTTGCCAGGAAACTTGCTCAGGAGTTTCCATCTTTGGGATTTCTTCTTCAATACATCGTGTAGAATAACTAACACCAAAACTAACACAACAAGCAAAACGGCGACAATCATTTTTATTGCCACTGGTAATCAAAATATGCTAAAAATCAAACGTAATAAATACGTATTTATATCTTAATCACTGTCTATCCTTCGAGTGGTATAGATTTATTATGGTTATAACTATATAATTTTCAATTTATAATTTGACTCTATCGATTTTCTTATCGGATTATGTTAGTTAATCGACCAAAGATTTTTCAGAATCCTTTGACGACACTTCGTTAATAAACATAATCGTATTAGAAAAAAATCCTTTACAATATTTTTTGCGCACTTGTATACATACAAATTATTTAAGAGGCACTACCAATCAATGTAGAGATGGAATCACAACTGATTTCACAGTTTGAAAGCGTTCGATATTTAAAGCATTTCAAGCTTAGGTTTCCTTCAAGTTGGAAAATCTACTGATTCAATATACGTCATACTTTACGCCTGCGTTTAAGCGGAATTGTTTAGCTTAATCTAATTATTAACCGACTACAAAAAGAAGGCGATTCTCATACCGTATGCCCCGATTTAGATTATTTTAATCAAGAAGTAGTGCGTGCTGGTAGGTCCCTTTTTAATAATCTTACTAATTTTTACACATAAAAACTGATTAGTAGTTTTTAAGTTACCCATCAAAATGAAGTCTGTTTAGCTTTCTTCACTTTATTAGACTTACCTATACGACCAGTATTAGAGAATGGTCATGTAATTTTTAATTAACTTATTTATATTAAAAAATATATTTGCTTACGAAGATAATTGAAATAATAATGTATTCATAGAAAATGTTTCTTAGTGTATGTATTATATATCAATCTAATCCTTCTGTGAAGAAGGAGGAAAATAGCGTCTTGTATACTGCTCCTCAGTCGTCAGTCAAATGCAATATTATTCTTATATTGCCCCCATTTATGAAATGTGATTGCAAAATTAAATTATAAATGGCGTAATTACAGACAGCCAACAACCAAACGATTGCATTAGCGCACGTGTAAAGAAATAAAAGAACAAAAAGAAACAAATGAACACTATCATATGTTTAACATCTAAACGTAAATAAGTTCTAGGGGGTAACTATAAGGGGTAAGACAACGTGCATTCGCTTCGAGGCGATTCCATAGCGAACTTCAAAATATATAGTACTGACAATAACTTTCGATAAATCATGTGATTGTTGGGCATCAATATCGACGAATGCATTTTGTCTTACCCCTTTTCATCTTAATCTTAAACGAATTTAAAACCAAATAATAGTATTTTGTTATACGTGATACATGCATTTATGCAATTATTTGTTGCCAATGCGGAAATAAATGTTTAATAACTTATTTTAAAATCTGTTTTTTTAAAGGGATTTAAATAGAATCACCCAGAATATTTTGTTTACTTGTTGTACATTGATTGCCGGAATTGTTATGACTTATCAATTGCTCATGTGAATGAGTATTTTGACTTACTCCGCATCGATAAAATCGATCGGATGCTTTCGTATAAATTATATCATAGTCATAAAATACGAATGGCAACGATACATTTTTTATTGAATTTCGTAACTAATACGTAATTTTGTAACAGTGGCACATTATCGTAGTTGTTTGAGGCTCTTACTAGTTTAATCTTTCTTATTCTCTTAAAAAAACCTGAATAGTTACAATATTTTGTCTGGGTATTGTTAGGAATATATTTGCTGCAATTTGATAGATTGGTAGTATCCAAATAAATGCAAAAATTATTATGTCAACCCTTAAAATGCAATACGCTTTGAGACGAAGGTCACGTGGCGGTCATCGTAATCAATGGATGTATTAATTGGAGACGTGCGTGATTGAAATGCGTGATTATTCATGTTGCCAATCTAGTTTCGTTACTGCATTCCGCTTTACTGTCATTACGATAGCGTCCAATACGTTTTGAATTGGAAGTTAAATTAATAATTTTTGATCATGAGATAAATATAAGTGATAATTACGACATTTTTGTCTGTCCGCTAGTTTGTTTTCGTTTAATCTCCGAAACAGCTGGATTTATTTTGACCAGAACTTTTATTAGAAGGATGTATATGAGAGTAACATTTAGGCTTATATTTTTTTTTATTTTTTTATGATATATGCTTTTATAATAAATGCACCAGCGATTTTTAATTTTTTTTTGTGGAAAATTTCCATCAAGTATAAGGAAGAGTGAGGTTCGGAACTTGCTATTGGTATTTTGTATGGGCTTCAACATATGTCATAGCACCAAGATGGTATATTGCACTAATATATTCCTAATAATTACGTAACTTTTATTACCGATTCTAATTTTTTTTTTAACTTATTTTCAAATGATTCGAAACAGCGTTTCGAGACCATCTGCAATTAGTGGAGATTTTCTGTAAGAGCACTCCTTAACTATGTTCCGGTTTGCGTCCAAACTAATCAAGTTGGCGTTAGCACGTCGAGAGTTCCTAACACTCATTAATTTCTTTGAAGTCTCAACTCCGTGCCGCAACTTCGCTGCTGCTTTTTCCCTGTCAATTATGAAAAAAATTACCTTCTAATCTTTAGATAATTAAAAATAACTCCATTTTCTATTCATTAAAATTTTGTAATTCACTACAATATAATATTTACTGAAATTATTAGTACATATATACATACGTACATACTTATGTCTTAATAAAGGTCATACAAGTTTATTAACCTCTTTGGAGTATTCATATTCGATTTTACTGGTTTGGGAAATGTTATTATTAAACTAACTGATAATCATAAAATATCCAGTTCTGCTTCGTATCTGTATGTTGACTAACAAGGAAAGGCTTATGAGGAAACTAGCTGACCCCCGAGAATCCATCTGCGCGGAACTTAAAACTAAAACTTAACTACTAGCCTATGCGTTCTTCGAACTGTGTTCAAATTATTAATTTCTGCAATCTTACTAATATTATAAATGTGAATGTTTGGATGGATGTATGGTTGTTTGTTTGAAGATATCTCGACAACGGCTTAATGGATATCGTGGAAATTTGGCATACATAAAACAACATAGGCTACTTTTGATATAGTTACGGTTCACGTGGGATAGGTTTGATTCGTATACCTACTCGATATCCCCGAAATGGAATGAGTATTATCGAAATTTGGCACAGATACGGTAACATAACTATCTGGAATAACGCATAGGCCATTTTTTAATTCCGCGTGGACAAAGGCAAGGGACAAAAGCTGGTATGGTACAATACGCTGGACTATTCTTCTAGCAAAATGTCAATAATCCTAACTTGCGCGTGTTTACTATTATGTAAATAAGATACATACGTTATTATGTCCATAATAAATGGCCAGAAGTTATATTTGCTCTCTGTTATGATAGTTTGGGAAAACTTTGATCTCTGTTATAATAATCTGGGAAATTTTAAGATGAAATTTCGTGGTTTGACGCAAGGACTCGAAGTCACGAAAATTAAATCAAAAAGCGCACTGCGTTAGTTTGTATTTATTGTTAACGTTACTGCTTTGTGTGGTCTCTGAGTATTAGTCAAGTTTTTCCCTTGACGTATATATTTATTTGATGTCAAAAATATCAAGGTTACGTGCATGATAGCTCTATTACGGTTTTTTGATTTTATTTGTTTTGATGATTTTTTCTAAATGTTTTCTATATTATCTACTAGATATCGCCCGGATATTGTTCTAATGTTATCCGCGCTGGATTAAAAAGGAAACTTAATAAGTAGCCTATGTGTTCGTCTAGACTATGTTCTAGAGATACTTCCAGAAACACGTTCAAACATCCATCCATTTATCCATCAAAAATTTCGCATTAATAATATTAGTAAGATAAGTTTCAAAACGTTTTTTTTAGGTACTTGTTTACACTAGTCATTCAACTCATCCTAGCTTACCAACATCTAATAAAATAATTAAAAACATTAATACATTACCATACTATTGAAATGTTCCTTTAATGAAAATGTACGTCTGATGATTGAAATTAGGATAAAATTTAACCTATGATAACATTGTCAAAATCATCACATATTGTTTGCGTACCCTAGACGTGCCGACTTACACCCCTGAGCGATGCTGAGAGAACATGTGAGCAATAAAGTTAGAGATAATTAAGACGTGGATACACTCCGCGGCGTACAATCCATTAACGAGCGCCGTATCTCGCCTGCATCCGGAATACCACTCCACATAACTCAACTATTTACCTCCTCAACTGTTATGTAAGTAATAATATTTGTTTATACTAATTAAGTTTCACGTATCAAGTTTATTAACCAGCGTACTGATTCACATATCTCTACTATCTTTGGTTACAATTAAGTTGTATAATTTTTAACTTTTATACTAATAACTCCTTTTTTTGGTATCGGGGGAAAGTAAAGATATACTGCTTTCTAGGGGAAGTCAGGGTTATGTTTGGTTTACGCACCTTTCAATAGCGAAACTAAAGCGCTATAGAAGAGGATTTCAGATTTTCGAGGAAGATACCGGACTCTCAGCACTTTACTACAAAGTATATGACTCCTCCCGTTGAATGGTGTTACCGTAACATAGAACTACGCTACTGTATATGGCAGATAAGCCAGAGTGTCCCGAAGATACACCCTGAGCTATTCGCCTCCGAACAGGCCTCTCTATACCATAAATAAACCTTCGTTTCAAATTATTATATTAGTAAGCGCAATTTTCTACTTCCATACTCAGAGATCTTTAACTGTTCACTAAGGGTGACCCTTAGTTTAATTTCTCACACGAAACCTATACTAGAAGTCACGTAGTCAAGTTATTAAATATGTTGATAGACGATATTCACGTGTCGCGGCACATTGGCACGGTTTACAAACTGAGATTTGATTAGCGCTCCGGAAATACGATAATAAGTAATGACCACCGCACGTTTACTGCTTTAACAACTTATGTA